CCCGACCCCTGCGGGGCGTGGGGACCTTGAGGCAGGCTTTGTGGGCGGGGCTGGGACAAGGCCACAGAAAGCCCGGCCCACCAGAAAGCCCCGCCCCTTCGGTCCTGCCAGGTCTAGGCAAAGACAACGCATTGCGCAAAACCCAGAGACTGGAGCGGGAAATAACCACCGAAATTCAGAACACCCGAACGGCACCGTTTCTGTGCCTGCTGCCAGTCATTTTCTGCGTGCGCAGCGTCCGTCTTTACAGCTGTATTTCCCCACGGGACACACGAGCCTACAGTTTCCAGGGCTGCGCGTCTTAACTGCTCTGTGGTTGCGCTGTGTACATTTGAACCTACTCGCTTTGGGTGAAGAAACCAAGCCTGCGCGCCGGATCAAAAACCCACTAAGCGGGTGAGTGTGCGCGCCGCCTGGCGCCGGGCTCGCCGGACAGGGCCCGGCCTTTCTCCCAGGGCTGTGGTCCTGGGACCCGACCCAGGCAGAGCGCAGGGCGTTCACCTCTCGCCTCTGCCCACTGGGTGCGCCCTCGGATTCTTGGCGGCGACACCTAATGTCACAGCACTCTCCCACAGCTCCGAACCCTAAAACGTCGGGTCGTCCCGCGATCCCTGCCTGGATTCCGATGTGCCTGGGAGTACCGGGACCCGGCCTGCTGGCCCAGGGGGCTGTCCTGGACCTCACTCTCCTCTACATGCTCCTGAGCTTCCCGGAGGACACCCGAGCCCGTGAGTGGGGGACACAGGGCGGCGGGCTGGGAACAGTGATGGAAAGCCTCCACCCTGGACCCTGGGACATCTGGCAGGTCGGGGGTGACTTCTCGAAATCTTGTGGGGTGGTCACTGGCCCCTGCTCCCTCAGTAGGCTTGGGGCCAACCAGTGTCAGGACCGGTAAGGAGCTAGACTCCCTCCCATACGGGAGACCACTGTCCTAGTCCCGGAGTGGCGGCTTGCTTTCTCGCTGTCCCTCTATTTCTGCCTCTCTCTGGTGAGCACACGTCGTATACCAAATTGAAAGTAATAATCACAGGCACCAGCAGATGGCGTGATGCTTACATCGCTGGACTCCCACATAGGCCATGGTGGTCCGAGTCCCAAACCAGGCAGCTTAAACTCAAGCTGGGTAGTGTGCCGGTGTGCCCAAGACCCCAGTAGGGAGAAGACATTGCTGCCTGGCCACCCCCCCAGGATGATTTCTTGCTTTCTGTCACTCTGTCTCTCCAGCGAGCGCATGCTCCCTACAGCAAAAAGTCTCTCAAAAACTAATAATAATAATAAATTTAATTAATTAATTAATTATTTTAAAGCAAATAACAGGGTGTTAGATACCCGGAAAGGCAAGGCCACAGCCAGAAAATACATGTTTGGGATCTATCATCTCCAAGGTTTTAAAAGCATTCTTTTTACGTCTAAAACTTCTCTTTATTTACAAATTTCTGTTTTCCGTCTCTGTCTCTCCCTGTCTTTCTGGAGAGCGCACATGCCCTAGAGCAAAAACCTCTCCAAAAACAAATAATAACAACAATAGTACAAGCATGATTTTGCCCTCACAAATTAGTTACCATATATTCAAGTGAGAACAATGCGGCGGCTTCCTCTTAATTCTTTTTGAAAATGATGCTTTCCCAGTTTGTGATGTAGACATTTGGTGGCCTGGATCTAGGCTGAGTTCATTTGTAATCCTTGGCTAACAGGCACACACCCAGCACCTGACCGGAGGGCCTTTATCACTGACTCTGCCCGGAAAGCCATTCCTAAGTTCTGTAAAAGTGGCTGCATTTCAGCCCCCGTGCGCCCCCAGCCCGCGCCCCCCAGGTCTGCGGTTAAGCTGCAGAGCGCGGCAGGGTGAGGGCGTTATTGCTTAGTAAACCGCTCACTGGCCAGCGAGCGACAGTCATACGGAAAATGAAACGAACGCGTGACACTCATAGCCGAAAACGCAACGGTTTTGTGGGTTTTCCCTGATTAGTGCCGACACACTGCGCCGATCAAAGAAAGTGTTCGGAGTCTTACCTGTGGGCGGGCTGAGTTCAGACGGTGGAGGGAGCGGACCCCGGCCTGGCCGCCCTGTGGTTTGAGAGGCAAATCCAAAATCCAAAATCCCAACGGGACGGAGAAAAGGTGGCGCTGTGACCTGCCCCATCCCACCCCATCCCACCCCACCGCACTCCCCGAACCCCTTTCTCTCGCAAGCGCATGAACCCTTGGCAAAAAAAAAAAAAAAAAAAGAGGGGCCGGCGGGGGGCCATCCGCCGGCGGGAGGCCTGTGCCGGCCGGCATGCCCAAAACCCCAAGATGGAGAATGGAGACATTGTGCAGGGAGCGCAGCGTGACCACGCCCCACTGGGCGGTGTCTTCTCTCTTCCTTGAGCGCATGTGCCCTCTGACCAAAAGAAAAAAACCGCAAACACTAAGCTTCCTAAATAACGATATGAATAAAGTAGATATATATTTGGTTTTTTAAAAAGAGTCTTACTGGGGCCGGCAGGTGGCATGGTGATTAAGGCGCTGTGCGGTAGGCCTTAGCTGGTCATGAGCGGGGCCCGAAGAGAACAGCAGAAGGACACATGTCACATCAATCACAGTTTATCAGGAGTTGCAACCAGGCCCGCCCATGAGATGCCCCCTTCCCACCCAGCTCCTGGCGCCGGGAAGGCGGGCAAATCCCATTTTCCTTCCTTGGTAACTGAGGAAGACACATATTTCCCTCTTACCATCCCTCATAAATACAAAAGACCCAGCCAGACATTTGGGCAACATCCCGATTCCACTGGGGCAATAAACTAATTGGGCAGCCTGTCCTAATTAGGGTGCTGTCATCCTGGCTCACACCCGGCATCAGAAACCCAATTCCTCAAGTTCTTCACCTGTGAGAGAGATGCGCAGGCAGGCGCAGGAGAAAGTCCACGAATTCAAAGGACATTGATGGTGTGACAGACCTCCCACCGTTAAATATTCAGGATCACCTCTGGTAATAAAAATGACACCTAACCAGGTCCAAGCAGTTGCTACCTAGCCACGTGCCCGCCCAACATTCTTTTGGGGGTACTTCTTTTCTCAATTTCTTTCCTATTAAATTCTCTTTCCTACCTACTTTTATTGTGGTTGTGGCTTTATTTTGTGCCTAGGAACAGGTCTCTAATTTTAGTGACCTGGACCCAAAGAGCCAAGGACTTCACAACTACAGCTAGGCACTTTCCCGTCCTATGACAACTGGACTCCCACGTGGCCAACTGCAGTTCGAGTCCTGGACTTGGCCACTTGCTTTCTCACTGCCTCTCTCTCTCTTATACTTACCCTGTAGCAAACTGAAAAATTAATAATGGTAATGATAAATAAAATGAAATAATAATAATGAATAAAAATAAACAACTATTTTTTTAAAGAGTCTTAGCTGTTTGTGAATAAGAAAGATGTTTCCAGCAAAAGCATTGCTTTCAGTAGGAAGTATGCCACAATCACTGGGCCAAAGAGGTATGATTAGCAAGATTATCTGCCCGTTAACCAGCATGCCTCTTCCTAGACCTCCTAGGAAAACTTTAGAATAAAGAAAAGCATTCCGTTTCAGTCCCCAACTACCCTGCGGGTGGTTCTGCAAGTGCCTTCCCCTGTTTTTAAGCTGTGTGCCCTGTCTGTCCTGTTACACACACCCCATGCCCCATGCTGGGCCCTGGGCCCTCCCTGGGCACACACTGCAGCTCACTCTGAACCACTGCTCCCCCCTCAGGCTCGCACTCCCTGCGGTATACCTACTCGGCTGTGTCTGAGCCAGGTCCCCGAGTCCCTGCGTTTTCTGGCTTTGGCTTGGTGGACGATCAGCCCTTCATCCGCTATGACAGTGAGGAGATGACAGCAAAGCCTTGTGTTCCCTGGTTGCTGGAGGGACCAAGATACTTTGATGACGAAACCAAGATCTTCACAAGTCGGATGAAGATTTTCCACCTAAACCTGAGAAACGTGCAGCAATACTACAACCAAAGCGTGGGGCCAGGCCTGGACAGAGGACGCCCACAGAAGCCGGCAGGTAGGCCATGAGCAAGCAGGGGCAGGCAGCACACACCACACCCCAGCCCCCCAGACAGGACGCACTCTCCACTGGTACTTCCCTGGAGCGGGCTGGGCCAGGCGAGTGTGTGTAAGTCAGCACTGGAGTAAAGCTGGCCCAGTCTGGCCACAGGGGCCAAGGTCTGTGTGACATTCACTCATCCAGTTCCGCAGTCCCGCTGGGACACAGATAGGTACTTTCAGTGTGGGGCTGAGGGACCGGAAAGCATAAGCAAGTGTCTGCACTCTCAGAGCCCACGATTACCAGGAGGCGCCCGTGCTCCTGGGCAGGCTTTACTCCACCTACCAGGCATATCGAGAGACGCCAGAGACCAGATTGAGAAGCAGAGAAATAGTTCCTCAGAGTGGTAGGCAAGACCTCCCAGTGGTCAGGGGGAGGGTCATGAATGAGATGGAGTCTGGGGTAAGCCTGAGGGATGTGACAGATTTGAGTCTATGAGGAAAATAAAAGAAAGACGTTCCAAAGCCAGCTGGTATGGTGGTTGACACACTGGACTCCCACATGGCCCATCCCAGTTCTGGTCCTGGCCCTGGTGGCTTGCTCTCTCTCTATCTCTTTCATGCATAAGCCCTGTATCATATTAAAAATAATATAATCGTGATAAATAAAATTAAAATTTTGTTTTTAAGTAAGATATTCCAGGGGACCAGCAGTTAGCGTAATGGCTATGTTGCTGGACTCCCACGTAGTCAACTGTGGTTCGCGTCCTGGACCCGGTGGCTTAAAACTCATGCTGGGCGTGTGTGTGTGCGTGCCCAAGATCCTGAGAGGAGAATGGAGGAGAAGGGATTGCGGCGTGGCCATCACCCCCTGGGGGGTGATTTCTCGCTTTCTGTCTCTTTGTCTCTCTCTGTCTGTCTGGCGAGCGCACACACCCTATAGTGAAAACCTCTCCAAAAAAAAAAAAAAGTAAGACATTCCAAGCAGTTGAAATTTAGGGTGTGGCAAAGTGTGGGTGGGAATGAGCAGAGTGAGTTCAGGGTGTATGTTGTAGACAAGTATTTTCATAGCCAGGTGGTTGGATCCTGCATAGCCAATTACACAGTTCAAGCCCCAGACCTGGCAGCTTGAGAAACAGACCAGGCATGTATGCATGAGTGCCCAAAATCCCAACCGGAGGGAGAAATGGACAAAAAGGGATTGCAAGGACCAGCAGTTAGCATAATGGCTATGTTGCTGGATTCCCATGTAGTGGACCACAGTTCGAGTCCCAGAACTGGTGGCTCACCGGACACGTGTGCGTGCGTGCCCAACATCCTGAGTGGAGAATGAAGGAGAAGGGATTGTGGCATGGCCATCCCCCCCTGGGGGGTGATTTCTCGCTTTCTGTCTCTCTGTCTCTATCTTTCTAGCAAGCGCGTGTGCCCTATAGCAAATACTTCTCCAAAAAAAAGAGAAGGGATTGTGGTGTGACCCTCCCCCCATGGGGGGCGCTTTGTCACTTTCCCTCTCTCTATCCCTCTCTGGTGAGTGCACACATCCTCTGGCAAAACATGTTTTAATTTAAAATTTAAAAAAAAATTTTAAATAATTTGTAGTAAATGTCTCCTGATGCTTGACACTATTGAAACAAGTTTGTGAAGGGCCTTGAATGCCAAACTGAGGCCTAAACCAGTGAGAGGCGTACTGTGAGCTGGACAGTGAGGCTGCTCAGCTCTTCCCAGTTCGTCCTCGTAGGAGCCTGTAGTCCACAAGGTCTGCCCGCCGCTGTTACTGGCACCAACGTCGTCCTCGTAGGAGCCTGTAGTCCACAAGGTTTGCCCGCCAGTAATGGGTCCTGCCTTCCAAAGGTTCCTGGCGGAGGAGAGAGACCAGACATAGTGAAGTTTGACGCCCTGTGTACATGTTAGATTCAGAGCTCGAATTTATGGACTGTGGGAGTATGGATTAATCTCACCCTCCTCTGAGCTCCTACCGCCCATACATTCAGTTAGTTATATTTTCTTTGAGGATTTTCCACCAGAAGTTTGGAGCAAACATTTGAGTTTGCATTCTCCACAGCCTCCAGGAAAACTGCCCCGAGCACGGCGTGCTCTCTTCCGTTTCCACTGTGCTCTGAGGTCCTGTTTTCAGGAAATCGCACTTGGAACTTGAGACGGCACAGAAGATGCAGTGTAACCGTCCCATGCACACAGCTGAAGAGCGTGGTGTGGAGACAGAACGGCTTGCCCAATGACACGGTTTGTGGCAAAACGCACGTCTGCACCTTCCCATCCTCGCGATCTCAGCACATCCCGGGACTGGCTGCCAGCACAGCGACAGCTAGGGCGGTACAGCAGAATCAGGGGTCAAACTAGCCTGCCCTAACTGAAAATGCCACCCGCGGAGACGCAGCGAGGCGGCAGTGGGGTCGGGCAGCAGGGGCCATGTGGACGGGCCTGCCTTTACTAACGCCTGGCTCCTGGCAGGGCACAGAGCAGGCCCCCACACCCTGCAGTTCACCTACGGCTGCGAGCTCCAGGACGACGGCAGCACCACGGGGTACTGGCAGTACGGCTACGACGGCGAGGACTACCTGAGCTTGGACATGGACACGCTGCAGTACACGGCAGCCTCGTTCCCTGCCCGCTACACCAAGCAGAAGTGGGAGGCCAACGGGAACTCGGTGGAGAGAGACAAGGCCTACCTGGAGAAGGAGTGCGCCCTGTGGCTGCGGAGATACTTGGAGTTTGGAGGCCGGAACTTGACCCGCACTGGTAACCACCTCCTCAGCCCTCCTGCTCGGTGGTCCCCAACCCCCAGCGTGGCCAGTTCTCTCCCGGACAGGAAGGGGGCTCCCCCAGAGCTAGCCCACTGTAGGGGTGTCAGCTACCTGGCGTGGGAGGCCGAGGCCAATATACGAGGACGCTTCCCCTCAAGCAAGAGCCGTGGACTTGAGAGCCTCCCCTCTCGGTCTGTCTGCCCTCCACTCCTCCTCAGCCCCCTGGGGAGCACTACCCTAGGAGACCCCTGGGCTATTCCCAGGCCAGGACCTGCAGCCCTTTCCCCCAGAGCCTGCACCGTGAGTGCCCAGGCAGTTATCCAGACAATGGACTGCGGGCTGACGGGAGAACTGGGCGCTTCTGGGGCTCCTGCCCGAGGGGAAGGCGGAGCTGAGCCCCAGGCCCTTCCCTTGGGTCTCAGTTTAGCACGGGGCTGGGCTCCCTCCACCCCTGCTGAAGGACATCCCTGCCCTGCCCTGCCCTGGCTGGCAGCGACACCATGGCGAGTTACAGTGTCCTGGTCATTAGGTAGGTGCCACTCAGCAAGCCTGGACCTGGCCCTCCCTGCCTTGTCTCCCACAGACC